TATATTATATATGTGTTGGGGTAGTAAGGGTGTCACATTTCTTATAATGTGATGACATTAACGAGAGTTGCAACAACAGTGATAGGTGACATAGTAATAAGGGTTAAAGTAGTATTGATTCGACAATATGATATATTACGTGTTTTTGTACTTGAGACAAAAAATCATTCCATAATTTCTTGAATAATAAAAATAAGATTTGTCTTATCTTTTTGTTTTTTTTTTTTTTTTGCGTTCCATGACTTTTTTATTTTTATAAATGAAAGACATAATTATTTCTGCGTCAGTATGATTGGAACAAACATCTGAATAAAAAAAAAAAACTATTTTTTTAGAAATTCTTAGTAGTGTTCTCAAAAATAAATTTTGTTAGTACTCCCCCTCGTAGTTATGCAAACTCCCCTCAAGTTGCATTATATTTTTCTGCTCCCACAAAATTAACACCATTAATTACCATCTAGTAAGGATTGTTGATGTTACACATGATTCATGAAGCAGTGGGGTTGGATCATATGTAATCCATGATATGATGTTTTGTATAGTCACTGGTTTTATCTTAAAATAAAAAATGAAGTAGTGGGAGCAAAAAAGGCAACGTCACCCCGATGTTCGTGGACCACCATTTACGTTAGCAATGACATACACCAACCACAATTAAGTGGAAAAAAAAAAGTCATTTATGCAAGAATTTTATTAATTACCTCTAACAAATTTCTCATTCTAATCAGAAATTTTGTTTTATTTCAACATGAATTCTAAAGTTTAGTTAAAAAAAATTTTAAAAAATCATTTCTACTTTAATTACCGATATATTGGTGAACTATTTAATAAATTAATTCTTAAAATTATAAATATTAATTGACTTTGTTATTAATATTATATATAAAAATAATTTAAGTGATTTATTTTGTCAATTATCAATTAATTTAGTCTTATAAATAATATTAACTATCAATTTGGTCTTAAATTTTACAAATTTAGTTAACTTAGTCTCTTAATTTTTTATCATCGTTTTTTTTATAAATTAATGATCATTTGTTTGATTCTTAAATTTGAGAATCATCGGTCCATTTGATTTTTGACATTCAGAATTAAATTGAATATTAATACACAATAAAATTAATGATCAAATCAACTAATGAATATCAAAATAAATGAGTAAAATTATTAATATTTTATAAATCTTGATATTGAATTGACTAATTTTTCATATTGCAGACTAAAGAGACTAGTACTTATCCATTTTAATGATTAATTTTCTTTTTAATTCTCAAAACTAAATATTTGGTAATTAAAATTTTATAAATTAATTTTAATCATAAATATTGAAACAAAAATACACTTGTACTCACCTTAAAATGTACAGGACCAAAGAAAACAAGTGCCGATTACTACGATAAGATTTCACTCGAAAAGAAAGTAGGAAAAACCTATTTGTATTTTATTTTTATCGGATGAAAATAATAAATTAAAAAATTAAATAAAAGACATTTAAATTATCATTCTATTCAGAGTATCATTGATGATAAAATTTGTTGAATTTTTTAAAATTGGTATCTAATTTCTATTTAGTTTACTTATAAAAATAATTATCTTGACCGACTATAAAACTAATTCAAATTAAAAAACAATACTTCCATTGTTTCATTTTTTTTATGTTTTAGTTAAAAAAAAATCTATTTTCATAGCTATTTTACAATAATAATGAAATATTAATATTTATTATATTTTAATCATTTTGTAGTGAAAATAAAATATAAATAAAATAGAGAGAAAAATTAATTAATTAATTAATTAATATAAAAATAAGAAATTTATTAAAAATTACTTAAAATTTAATAAACTCTAAATATTTATTTTATTTACTGCCAAAATTTATATTTTCAGTAATTTACTTGTTAATATTTTGTCAAAATATTAAATGTCAAATTATAAATAGGACGGAAAAAAAAGAAAAAGAGAGAAGAATCCAAATTTGCATTCGTCATTGATTTCGTGCGTACACTTGGGTAGCACGAATCAAATTCCAAGATAAAAAGAAAAACGCGACGAAATAACGGTCACCGACGCACCGTGACTTGGAAACACAGCAAAATTAATTTCATTCACATTGGACCTCTTTTTATGCTTGTTCCCCAAGCCAATGCAATATATATACATGAATCAAACCCATCTTTCTTCTCACTTCAAATTAACCATTTTTCTTAATGGCCATGGCAACCATAGGGTTTGATTTTGCTGAGACCTACGTGACGCGGAAGCTACACATGGAAAAAATGAAAAAAAGAGCCCAAGAAGAAGAGGGAGAGAAAAGCACCAACATGAAGATTTCTACAATTGAAACGGGTTTTGAGGACAAAACATCAACTGGGTGTTTCTCATGGGTCTCCAAGAAGCACAACAAGAACATTTCTCGAATATCGGACTACAACGACACTGGACCTGCAAATTCATGATTCATGTGTCCTAGTTTTTGTTCCTTTTCTTTGGTCATTTTTATATGTATAATGTATGCTCCAATTATTTCTATTGTGAAATTAATGAAATGAGATGAACTTGTCGATCTCTAATGCCTAGAGTTAGTCTTATAGTCGGTCCAAAAGATGTAACTTGTGAGAGTACGAGCCAAATATGATTAAACTAATACTACTCATCAGAGATTTTTATTTTATATTATATTTGTTTCTATCGGTGAATAATTGACATTTCGAAAGGTGAATTTAACAGGTTCCTTCAATTGAATGAATTTGCTTCTCATAATTTCATGGGTTTTAAACAAAAAGCAACCTGGGGACCTCGACTTTGGGTTTTTATTTTCAATTAAAACTGAAAATAGCTCTAAAAATTAGTTTGGTAAGAATGGGGGTGAGAATATCAGTCCCTACTAATAAGTTTCTCTTGGGCTTATTCTTCTTTTTCTTTTTTAATTGTTCCATGGACCCATTCTTAATTTCGTTGAAAGTTTTCTCGGCCTATTTTTTTTTTTGATAATTTGGTCAAGTAATTTCCTTTCTTGGCATAATTAGGCTTTCTAATTCAATTAGTCTTACACTATTGTTTTTGGTGCTGGTTAGTTGCTTCAACTCTTTAGTTGCGTTTGTTTTATGTTATCAATTTTTATTTTGAAAATAATATTCCTTGGAATATAATGATGAGAATAATATTTTTTTGGTATATTAAAATAGTGTGTTTAATTAATGATAGAAATATTTTTATGAGAATAGATATGAGAGAAGTTAAAATGAATAAAAATAAAAAAATTTTAATTATCACGTTATGACAATTAATTTATCCACCTTTTCCGTGTAACAAACATGAGATTAGATATTTTATCGTGATTTTGGAGGGTTAAAATTGATTGTAAGAGACATACAAACATACTAGAAGTCATCGGTGGAAATTGAAAATAAAAGTCATAAATGATAAAGATTGTAGTAGTTATTAGATGTTACATATAATTAGAATTCTTTGTTTATAAATAATACTAGTTTGTAACATGTGACAAAGGTGCAGTTATAACTTGCAAACATCATTCTATATGAAGCGCTTGATGTTTACAGATTGGAAAATTACCACAATGTTCCAAATCACTAACAACAAAATACCAACAGAACAAAGGAGACACGTAAAAGGGGAAAAAAAAACAAAAAACAGAAAACAAAACAAAACAAAAGAAAGCTGAAACCCATAAAACCACAATACACACGTAATATATTTAAAATATAATCAATTTGAGGAATGGTAGCATCATTCACTCTCTCAATCTGACACTCTTACAATTGCAATTATACATCTAGTAATGCATTTATTTCTTGCACTAAATAAAGGTATTGTTGGGAAAAAAAAATAATCAGTAACTTCTTGGTTTTCTAGAATGACAAACAAATATTATAAACGTGACACATAAGACAAAGAGAGTAATAATTAAAAGAAATTAGAAACAACAGTATGAAATACTTGCTGCTTTATTGCATATTTTTTTCATTGTTATTACTGCAACACGGCATGAACACTGGAACAAGTTTTTCATTTGAGCCCTTGACAGTTTGTAATATGACCATTTATTTTTTATTTTTATGTATATTTTCATTCTAAAACAATTTTACTCAAAATACATTCAGACATTGTTGAAAAATATCTAAGTTTTACTTATGGTAAATCATTCAAAAAGGATCATTTAGTATTTATTTATGCATCAAGTCTAATAATATTGGAAGTGAAGAAATATATATAAAACAAAACAATTATAAATCTACTAAAGATACATAAATTATAAAAGTGAATGACATCTTTTATCAAACTTGTTTTGTAAGATTGGATTAAATTCAAACCCACAAATTATAAGGGGCTTGAACATCTCTCCCAGCATAGGTTTGAAACTTAGTTGATCACATTGCAGAGACTAATTTTTTCTGCTAGACCCAATCTCTATTGGTTATATAATATGACCAAATATTCCTGTGAACAACTAGATTTTTTTAAAACTGGATTTTAAATTCACTAAGAAAATCCCAAGATGCTTGCACATTAGCACTGTCGGTTTGTCGCAGATCCTCTGTCCCCGCTATCTCATACATAATGTCTTGTTACTAAAAAATCCCAACATGAATGTTAGCAACTATGAGCATCCCTTAACAGCAAGATCTTAACCAACATTCCCTATTCTATAAGTGGTTCAATATTTCGAGTCAGTAAATTATTATTAGGGGACAATCAGTGTGGGAAATCACCTGAGAAGGAACATATTTTATCATATGCCCACGAATTTGTAGATAAATGCCTATTTCAACTTGCTCCACATTAGTTGGGGATAGCGCTAGCAACTGAAATTATGCCAATTATGAGCACAAGTTGAATCATTTAGATAATTAGATGCTATCCTGAGACCAGGTTTTTATTCAATGACTTGCGTGAGAGTATGTTAAATTTCTGCAAGTTGCACTTTTAAATGATAATTCTAGTAGAGTGAGTTGTTTGATACTATTCTGTTTGCAATAAAATTGAGTATTTACCAACCAACAAGCATATCATTGTCAAAGCTGACAGTTTCTATGAGACACATTTTCCTGAGATAAAAATATTTACTAAACACAAACTATTATGGCATTTGTATATATGATGCATAACTTGCAATAAATTGACATCTTGGATATCAGATTTGTTGCTTAGTATCAGCCTAGAGATCAATAACCTGGCAATTGATCAGTTCAGCCTGCCCAAAACCTCTGCTGGCAACTACTTTCCAAACAACTGCATCAGATTCAGCGGCCGATTCTGGAAGTAATCCATCATAATAAGATTTGGGTGATAGATGTGTTGAGGTTGATGGTGAAGAATCCAAATTACTGCTCAGATCAGCCTGCATAACAGCAATATCATGATTGGCATCTTTTGTGATGAAATGAAGCTTTCCATGGAAACCTGCTAATAGATATGGAGACTCCGAATCTGTAAAATCATACACAGGGACTTTTCCAATAACAACTTTCCATGCATCCTCTCCTTGATCATATACCTTGATCCTTCCACTATCCACAGAATTAGAAGGATCAAAAGCATACAATTCACCATCCACCACAACACTCAATTTTGTTCCAGCCTGCTTTATGGGCCACCCTTCACCCATTCCAGTTGGCATTTCCATCCATGAATTTGTTTCAGGATCATATATTTCTCCCCCAACATCAACAAAAAAGGGCCATGAATACAAACTTTGGGGAACATACAACCTTCCCTTGTATGAGGTTAACCCGGTTGCAATAGGCTTTAACATGTCGGCCAAAAAAGCTGTGGGAAGGACTCCAGCTCTTGAGAATGGCATGCTAGGAACTTGGGACCATGTAGCTGTGAAGGGGTCAAAAACTTCAGCAGATTGAAGAGGAACTAGTCCAGCATGACCTTGACTAACCCCTCCAACAACATAAAGCTTGTCATTTAGGATGCTTGTCTTACAATATGCCCTACCTGTAGACATAGAATTCACCTTCTGCCACAAATTTTGTATCGGATCAAATCGCCAGACACATTTCATAGTTGAAGCTTTTGAGAATCCACCTAGAACATAAAGACATCCATCAACAGCTCCAAAGGCACAACCACAAAAAGGCATGTCATCCAATGCATCCTTCTGTCCAAGCAGACCTCTAATAATTTCAGCAATTCTGATACCTTCCACCATGTTCCACATCCAAAGCCTAGAAGAACCCTTTTGGGGTTCCTCTTCTTCAACAACGCTGGGCATAATAGGTAGCCTCTGCCATATTCGAGATCGGGGGTCTAGAGCATGCCATAAGAGCTTATTTTCTCCAACCCTAACCAACAGATATAACCACTCTTCAGTTGTTCCAAGTTCTTTTCTTACTTTATATAATTCTGAACTCATGATAGTTGCTTTCCACCTCCTAGATACCAGCCTTACATGGTAGTAACAAATTCTAGGAAGTCTAGCAATAATCAGAATGGATAACTCATCAGGGAGATTAGGGATAAGCCTTGGACATTCTTCAACACAGGCGGATGACATTCTTTGCCTCTTACAGGTCTCAATTGGAGAGGTTTCATTAGACTCACTTTGATTGTTCTTGGAATTAGACATACTAAAAAAAGAACCCATAATCTAGCAAAGCTCAATATCTGCATCAAATTGCCAACATTTTAGAAAATTTGGCCTCAACCTATAGAAAACATCCAACATGTGCAGGATAACAAGCACGAAGAGAGAGAGCAAGAGGCTACACAAATACACAATCTAATGTACATAACAATTAAGTTAATATCCGCAGAAACAACCCATGACAGGAAAATAAAAAACATCCATCAATCAAATATCTTTAACACTGAAAGAAAGTATGATATCACCCCTATCTTATCTACCCTTAGGAAATTAAAAAAGAGGCAGAAAAGCTATATATAGTTAAAGAACACAATATAATTACATAAAATTGCAAGAAAACATAGTAGAAGAACACACTATAATTTTTCTAAAAAAATAAATAAATAAAACAACCTCCAATATGACACCTGCACACCTCAAAATGACAAAAAACAGAGATAACCACAAACAGGGGTGTTAGACTGTTAGGTACACTGCACAAGAACCGGAGTTTCACTTGATTAGTTAATTCAATTTTAAAATATTGGCTACGTGAATTCAGTTTCCGCTTTATCTGCGTAGGTAGTTTCACCTACCTAATTAACAATCTAATAAGACAAAAAAAAAAAAAGAAGAAGAAGGTGTTGCATCATTCATAAAAAATAAAATAAAAATCAAACTGCGCAGATCGCAGAGAACCCAGTTATGACTTGCGATTTGTGAATTGTAACGGACAAATAACCAAAATAAACACAAATTTTAAAAGTAGTTGCACGGAACACAGATACAACACTACCCCATGACTCCTTTTTTTTTTCATCATACCCACAATTCACAGTTTTTTTTCTCTTTTTTTCTTACTTGTAACCAAATGATTGAAGAAACATGTCTAAAGAGCAATTATAATCCACGGAAGCAAAAAATAAAAGCTTGAAAGGGTGTGCATTCGGAGTTACAACTTCAAGAACCCATAATCACTTTTTTCATTCACACTGTAAAATCGAAGAATCAAACACAGCTAAAAATTTAGAGACTGAACAACCATAAAGTGAATTGAAATCAAAATTAAAAAATAAAAGTTAAAACAAGAGAGAAGTGAATTAGTGATTAATGCTAAAACGGAAGAAAGAAGAAGAAAAAGGATGTACAGGTTATAAGGGACGTCCCTGGCTTCTTTCCTCTGTCTGGTGCGGTGTCAGTCAATGTGACAAAGAAATCATTATATGCTTACAATAATATATTAATTGATTAAAGTAGCATTTTATATTTCACACTCATTTAGGTAATTACGTCAAAGAAGCTTTTATTTTACACCTCATTGTGTAAAGTTGATTCCAATTTTGTCCTTTTTTTCAATGATAAATTTTGTCTTCTATTTTGTCTATATATTTGATAAAAATAAATTATTTTATAGCTTTAGCAAGTACCCGTGGGGCCGTGAGCAAGGTTTTAAAAATCAAATCCATCATTAAATTATTTAAAGTGTATTGAATTAGTGGATTAAAAGTTGAATAAAATATTCTACATTTTATTAATTGTTATTGTTTTTAGTAAATTATATAACGTTTTGATATTTTGATATTGAAAAACTTTGAAGAATTTAAGAATTTTAGTTGTTATGGGTTTTTCTTTTTTTACAAAAGTCACGTTTGATTTGTGGGGAGGGTATATAAGGTGTCGTAACCGAAATCATGATAAGATGACGCAAAAATATGTTTAATGGAGTTGTTACTAATATTTTATTTTTAGAAAAAAAAATATTAAAAAATCTTATGAAAAATGGTCTTTAGAGCTATAATTAGGTTTGATATGAAAACTAATATCCTTAAGATCTAAACATGGCAAAAATCAAACAAAATAAACATGTTCAGATCAGACTCATAATTGTGGAAATTAAAAGACCAACCTCCAGCCATTGTTGCTCGGTTGTTGCTTCAGGCTTCTGAATCCTTGCTTTCTATACGTGATGGTGTAGTATACTGAAGAGGAGAGTAGGCTCAGGGACCCAAAACGAGATACGTGTTCAATTTTTATAGAGCTCTAATCCATCGTAGAGCCTCTTGAACGTTGGAGAAAAACGTGCGGGAATCACAGTACCATATCCGGCAGTTATTTGATAATGGGTTGAAAAA